TCTAACTCACTCATCAAGCTAAATAAACATACACACAAGTGCACTAGCATGTATGAACAGTAATTAAGAAATGATCTTGCTAAAAAACAATTAATAATTGATATTTGGTATTTAATAATTTAAATTTAATATACGTTAATAAAATCAGTGGCATCTTATGCCATTTTCTATAAAGAGGATATTAATCAATCTAGAAAAATAATAATAAAATGGGCATGGAAGAGACCTGAATCTTATCAAAATGATTGTTTGCGAAGATTTTTAGATAAATCAATGTTTGCTTATGGAACCGCGCGCCTTTTAATTAATCATCACCCGGATTTGATTTGAAAGAATCTGGATAGAGTTCTTTTCTGGTCCGTTTGGTAACATGAATTTGAAAGAGTGTATTTGAATTTGAAAAGTTAAAATTCAATATCATTGTTTGTTTTTACTTAAACAAAAAGTAATTGGATTTACATGAAATACATGCATTTCAACAAAGTAATTCTAAAGAGTAAAGTCCGTGTATTTCAATTTCACTCTCAAACCTATGAATTTCAATTTTGAAATGAATTTCGTCTGCACTCTTCGTTCTCACCGACGGGGATAAAGCTTTCATCGTCCGAATCAACCTCAGCCAACGAATCGTCGGACAAATCGCTCTCAGCATTTGATTCATCATCCTCGCCATCACTCGAATCATCGTCATCATCCTCAAGTCGAATTCTGGGAAAACAACTATATCCATGTTGAGCTCATGAAATTCACCGCCCCACGAGCGAGACCCATAAGATGCGACGATAAGAAATTTCCTAGACTTGGAAACTGTAGGGCTATGATCGACGGCTCCGTAAAAGGTCAACCGCGTAATTTTCTTATCCTTATCATTGATTTCAGTTGAGTGAGGAGCTGCCCAGCTCTGGAATTGGCGATCGGGTTACTCTTGAGTTGAAACAAAGTAAAGGTAGTTGTTCTTCAGGATAGGATGGTCGTGAAAGAGGCTGTGGGGCACGGATGCTAGCTACTCGAGATTGGGTAGGCCAGGGCGAGTGAGATAGATTCGGGGCGATCTTGATCTTTCGGAGACAAAGACAACGGATTGGTCTTCATCAACGAATTGGGCGTTGAAGTTGACAGAGCAGCCATCAGTGAGGCGGTCCTCAATGGTGGCAGTGATGTGGTTTAGTTGGACGAAGAAGACG